TGCCGCACGGGAGAATGCCGCGATAGGGGAGAAGTTCCGTTACCCTAGTCCACGATTTGGTCCGCGAGCGAGCGACCTATCGAGCGAGCGAGCGATCGAGCAATTGGGGCGGCGCTTGCCTGCGGTATCGACCAAGATTCAGTTGTAAACAAGGGCCAAGCACCGCCCCAATCGCTCGATCGCTCGCTCGCTCGCTAGCAGGCCAAATCGTGGACTATGAAGGGCACCATTGGGTTACACTTACAATTAGGGAAATTCCGTAAAATGTTTATGAAAATATCGCTGCTGTTCAGGTTCTACATTTTGCCCCCAATTCGTTAGAAAATCTATGGCAAAACTATCATCATAAAGAGTTTTCTTCAAAGAACCAGAGCGGAACGTTATGAACACATTACCATTGCAGTCACCAACTTGAGTAAGTTTTTTGTGCTATCATTCAGTCTACCAGCAGTATAGAGAGAGAAGAACAATCCCATGCCGATAATGAATGGTATCACTTCTCCTTTGTTCACCTTAGGAATGTAGCCATGATTGTGAAGCTGCCGAAACAGTGTCTCAGATGCCTGAACTACAAGTATTATACAAAATAACAGAACTCCAATAACCGATTTCGGGTCTACCAGCTTACAATTTTCGAATCCCAAATTTCTCAATTCAGTCTACTGAATGGTAAATTACTAAGATAGTGGAAAATTACTGTAAGATGACGTACTAGGTTAGTGAGGTATAGGGCTAATGCTGGCCAACGACTTCGTTTCTCAATAAGTAATGAGAAGAAACTACCAAGCATGCTGCTTATCAGACCCATAGATATTGGAGTGAAAAAACCAAGTACATGCCTGAAAAATAAAACATCAAGTTCAAAATTTAGAGTGTAGCGTAGGGCTAAAACTAGTACAACACCAGACACTGTATTTCGGTTCTCTGCTCATGCTTTCTCTCATATGTTGGTAAGTGCTACAGTAAAAAAACTGTCAGAAAGACCCTTGGGATTGATTGAGAGCTCGAAGCTCAAAAGCTATAGACCTACAAATCTTCTTTTATTACACGCCTTGTGAACAAATCTCATTCAAATTTTTTATTCCATTTCATCAATAGATATTAACGCAATGTGCACGGCGCAACCTCAACCAGGCCCAATTTTGTAACTGGACAACGCAAATTATAATTCTAGCAGTTTTGTAGTGAAAATTGGATGACGTCAAATTCTACAAAAGCGGTATGAGCTTTGATCTATTCATGTTTTAGAAAACAACTGAACTCCTACGAAATACAAAAGGAAATATCTTTTTGCTACATTGTAGCCTATCTTATTTAACCCCCACAATTTCTTGAGATAACACTGCCAATTATGAAACAAAGGACTGCTTCGATCAGGGGCATTTTCCACCTACCCACAGATGGTATCGAAGTACCAAGGAAATCGTTGGAGCGAGGAATCTGTTTGCCTAATAGCATCCATAAACTACCCATGTGACCTACTTGATTCGAATCTCTATGAACCTGATGACCCTCCCTAATCCTTTAAAAACTGGAACTCACCTTACTCGGCATATAAAGAAAATAAATAGAAGTAGATTAGCTGTAAGAAATATCGAGGAACGAATCACATCTATACAATAACGCTTCCAGTCAACTTTACGGAAATCTCCTCGCTTTGCTATAAGTGAACTTACCTGCAAGTAACGCCATCGGTAACATTATAACCTTCTCAATCATGCTTATAAATGAATTACTATTCATAGTCACTATGAACTTACCAAATAAAATGGTGCGTAAGTCTTCAGACAAAACCATACTCCATTGGGAAAACAGTCCTGAAAATTACGTATGAAAAAAGTTTTTTGATGGAGGTGGCTTTGTCAAAAGAAAAAAAAGAAAATCATTTATTTACATTGGTACTGACATAGGCAGAGGACAAACTGTTACTCACCAGAATCGCCTGATTACAATGTGGCTGCCATGTATGCATAGTTTCATAACAATTCGTGTTCACAGTAGGTAATCCAAGAAAGTAGGCTAATTTCGAAAACACTGGCATGATTGAATGATTGACGTGTACCCTTCGCTTGAAACAGTAACTGAAAAACTTACATACAAATCAATATCACTTGTAATCAATTCAAATAGAATGAATGCGAAAACAATAGTAACGCATTGGTCAATGATCTCTCAGAGGTTGTCCTTGATGTCACATGTTACACTGCCTAATCAGATAGTTTGAAAGTGAAAGAAAGAAGAGTACAAGAAGTGGGTAAACAATGAAACCCAGTTCAGAGCGTACTGCTGAACCTTTCTCAAGTCGTTCGCGATGTCTCTATCACCATTTTTCCTATCTCGTTGGGGAACCCAAGGAGACACAGCTCCTAATTTACTAGGGGAAACAGCCAGTAGGAACGGTTTTATGTAATCGATCCGCCGCACACGGCTGTCGCGGACCATTTGCTTCGTTATAACAGTCCTAGCATTCTTCATACAGCTCAATCACTATGCGATTATTACTTTTGGCATGATTCTACTGTTAGTTCTTTTGTTCCTGAATTTCTTACTTGCTGCTGCATTCTGCTGCATTCCATCGCGCGCGACGTCTCTCCCGCCGCAACGCGACAATCTCGTTTCTGCTGCACCACTCCCCTTTACTAGCTGCTGCCTCAATTCTACCATTTACTCCGCAGTGGCTCTTACTGGACTTATCAAACAACGAACTTTCTCAATATACAGGGTTTCTTGAAGAGTACCAGAGGTATCTAGTCGTCGTCGGTTATCGTGTACGCCGAATACGCACTTGAAATGCCCTCTCGATTCTGAATTGAAGTCGAATGCATCCCAGAAACGAGTGTAGTTGAGAAGTCTTTTGGCACATTTGGGTTGTGATAGAGCCGAAAGGCTACAGATTTTAAGGATGTGGCTGTCATATGAAAAAATACAAACGAAATGAAAGTCTCCACGGTTGGTACTGCTTGGTAACTGAAGTTCGATCTATATTATTTACAGGGCTCTTTTCGGAAAAAGGAAATCGAAGAGACCAGAGCCATAACAGATCATCAAAGAAGGCATGAAAAGCTCCAACGTCTACAAATGGCATACTAACAAGCTGTGAAATATAAACGAGCATCCTGGAAGAAATCAAAGCTCGTCAAAATAAGAACAACACAACAGCCCAATCTAACAAACGCCCATGTTCTTGTTCTGATGCACTTTGTTATCTTCCACAGAAAAAAAAATGGGCGCGCTTCCAAACAAAAAATCATTGGAACTGTACAACGCTGAATGATGGACACTTTTAAATCCCTTAATACTTTCTTTTCATACTCAGCAGTAAGGAATAGAAAACGAAAATAAAATAGAAAACTCAGGAAAAGAAAATGGAAGACAATGAGTTAATTTAACATAGCCACGCTCCCATTAAAGGCACAGTACACGATAATTTTGAAGTACCCGTTTTTATTCGAAAAACATAAGCATAGATTGGAAATAGTTCATCGGTAGTGAAGAAAGCGGGAGTATCCGCAGATTTCGAGAAAATTGTGGCTCCTCAAAAGTAGGGAAAATAGAGGTTGGACGAGTCGCCATGACGGAAATAACATGGAATAGGTATTCGGACGAGATTTCAGTTATTGCAATTGCATAAAGAGCTGACTACATCAAGCGAGAACTGTAGAGAATTGTCTTCTTTGTCGCTATGGGTCAAGACAAGTTGTTTGAACTTCCTACATGGGTGTCCTTGTGATCGGTGCAGCCACTATAATGCCGGTGAAACTCGTCGGAGGATACACACGGGCCAATCTTTGAGCCTTTATAACTCCCTAACTAGACCGTTTCCCGACCCAATAGTGCCAGTTATTCTATGCGCGGGGGCCTCAGATTCATCCTGTGAAAGAACTTCAGAAACCATTTTTATCGTGAACTGTGCGTTTAAAGGGAGAAAACAAGGGCCGCGGTTCAGCCCCTGATTGGTTGCACCGTGAATTCAATGATATCCATTAAAGAGTTAGTTCAAAATAACTATCAGCGATTTTGTACTCGTTCTATCATCTTCTGATCGATGCGATGTTTAGACCACCATAACTGGCTGTTGTTCACAGGTCCATCTACACGGAATTCATTTTACCACAATGTATGATAGAAACGTTTTCATACTGCACCAGAGACGTATGACCGTTAAATGGGAACGCCTGGTGACAGAAGAATTGTAGTGCATGTTGGCATGATTTAGGAAATATTCAGTGAATGTGACTTGACGGTCTTCCTTAGAAATTTGACACATGCTAACCACTTTTGTTAGCCTAGTACTTACGAAACGATCAATCCACAAGTATTTTTTCGATATTCGGATATTCAGAATATCTTCCTCTTTGTTTGGAACCGGAGTGAAGGTATACACCCATTCGGGAAGTTCGTCAACTTAGGATTCAGGCAGAAAAAAAATTGAATGGCAATGGACATGAAAACACATTAGCGTTTCGAACACAAGAGGAAAGCATCTTTTCAACTGTCACTGCGAATGAAACTGAGCGAAACTTTGGTCATACAGGGGAAGAACAGTGTAATTACTACAAGGTCTGAAGTGAAAACGAGGTCTTTATCTCGATCCACCACGTTGTTGAGGTGCGCCAATTATTTGACTTCCAGCCAGAATCGTGAAGGCGTATTGAATGCGTATGTGATCTATTCAGCGCCTTCCGGTTGCCAGCCAGGGTCGAAAGCAGTTCTTTTACTCTCCAGACGAGTCTGGTTCCAGTTGGTTGAGTCATAAAGGATGGAAGGCTTGCTTGGCCTGGGGGAAAATCGATCCCGGATTCAACTCCTGGACCATTTGTGTGGTGTTGCGTCAATTGCCAATGCATACACTATTCCCCCTACTATAGCATACATATTTATAATAAGGTCGTAATTATGGTTGTAATATCGCTACACTGAGTTGTCATACTACTTTCTGAATCTCGTCTCTAAATCTCTCCCATCGAAGTGGATCTTGGAACTCTTGAGGCCTTTCTTTCGCACAAGCTCTTACATATCTATCACAATTAAAGGCACAGTACACGATAATTTTGAAGTACCCGTTTTTATTCGAAAAACGTAAGCATAGATTGGAAATAGTTCATCGGTAGTGAAGAAAGCGGGAGTATCCGCAGATTTCGAGAAAAATGTGGCTCCTCAAAAGTAGGGAAAATAGAGGTTGGACGAGTCGCCATGACGGAAATAACATGGAATAGGTATTCGGACGAGATTTCAGTTATTGCAATTGCGCAAAGAGCTGACTACATCAAGCCAGAACTGTACAGAACTGTCTTCCATTGTCGCTATAGGTCATGACGAGTTATTTTAACTTCCTACATGGGTTCCCTTGTGATCGGTGCAGCTCTACAATGCCGGTGAAACTCGTCCGAAGATACCCATGGGGCGATCTTTGAGCCTTTATAACTCCCTAACTGCGCCGCTTTCCGACCTAATAGTGCCAGATATGGTATACGCAGTGGCCTCAAATTCATCCTATGGGGATATCAGTAACCATTTTCATTGTGAACTGTGCCTTTGAGACGGAATAAACATTTTCAAAAATTTCAGGTACTCCGACATCTTTCTAATAATAATATAATGATGTCACAAGAAAGAAGAAAAGCGCGAAAATAGTTAATAATTATCATTGTCTTATAAAACGCCTAAGTCTGCTAGTGTCAATCAGACACTGACGAACCCATCAGATCTGATACATAAAGAGGTAGTGAAAGCGGAAGTATGTTTGAAGAGATGAAATAGAGCTTATAGTCATCTACGAAGAAGAGATGATAGTGGACAAATGATTGAGGAATGAAGGACATTCATAAGTAGTATGAAAAATAAGGTCAAAGAAAAAAAGATAAAATCACACCAGGTTGAGGATGCACAGAAGGTTGCAAAATTGATGTTTCATTTTCATTATTCATTTCAATTCAATTTCATTTTTCAAATTGACATTCATTTTTCAAAAGTATTTTTCGTAACACGACTGGGGTGATTGGATGTAGTTTTGACGGTTTTTCTCAGATACTTCATGAAGTAATGCCTCTTCCAAAGACCTCAGACCATACTTATGAAGAAAAAAGGTTATTATTGGAAATTTAAGGATAGAAGAAGTAATACTGGATTAACTGTAGAGGTGGTGAAAACGTCTGTGCTATGTTGCGAAGTTGAACTTGAGTCGAAGCCAATGTGACCAATGTGTTCCGATAAAAGTGGTCTGACCCTATCAGCAATCTGTCGGGTAAACCTATTTGCCGATTAGCCTAACGAGACCAGAAATCATGGAGCCTAGAAGCCTGTAGAATCAGCAGTTCACATAGGCAATTTACGATCACCGATTTCTCGCCAACTCAATCCTTTTCATGGACCGTCACTCAACGAACGTGCTAATCACTGAATTTCTGTAGGGAATTGCTACTGAAAACTATTATGCGACACCTTATCTATCTGCACAGACGAGACAGCAGAGTAGTAATGAAAAAGTTGAAGAGAAGCTGTTAGTTTTACTTGTTAATTTACCGAAATTCTTTCTGACACTCCTCTTCTACTTCTATGTAGTAGTAATATCCCCAAATACTGTAATAAAATAGAAACCGAAACCAATCGAAAGTAGACTCTCAGACTTTGCAAAAATGGATGGGAACTAAGCAAAACAGGTAGGAAAATACTTCAGCAGAAGTTACAGCTTTATTTCCTACTATCAATAGTATTTTTCTGCAGAAATAAAACGGCAGAGTGAGAACTATTCAATGGAACGTAATGAAAAAGGGGAGATTCAGTCAGGAAATCGATAAGGGACGACCAAATCACGAAGTTTTCTCTGCGGGCAATCGCCATCGATGCGCTCCGATCGCCATCGGATCATTTATGGGAAATGGACAGCTGATTGGGTCGCATACAAGGAGACTTTTGATAAATTAAATAATAAGAAGTCGTCGATAGCATCCTATCAGTTGACCAGCTATGTACAACGTAGTGCCGCTGTCGATGTTTGAATAAGCAGATTATTGGCACGGCCTAGGACGTTCGAGAAAACGCCGGAGTGACTTTTACCTTTTCTAGGCTGCTGTGTGGCTGATGAAGACCTTTCAGGCTTCCCACCACATTCTACATATGAAGTACTTTTTTTAAAGCCAAACACTGGAGGTTGATTTTTGCTCAAAAATTATGGCACCTACCTGTTTAAAGGCACAGTTCGCGATAAAAATGGTGCCTGAGATTCCCTCACAGGATGAATTTGAGGTCCCCTCTTATACCATATCTGGTACTATTAGATCGGAAAACGGCCTAGTTAGGGAGTTATAAAGGCCCAAATATTGGCCCGTGTGTATCCTCGGACGAGTTCAACCAACACTGTACAGGCTGCACCAATCACAAGGGAACCCATGTAGGAAGTGCAAACAACATTTTATGACCCATAGCGACAGTGAAAGACACAGTTCTGTACAGTTCTGGCTTGATGCAGTCAGCTCTTTGTGCAATTGCTATAACTGAAACGTCGTCCGAATAACCCTTCCGTTTTATTTCCGTCATGACAATCTCGTCCAACCTTCATTTTCCCTAATTTTGAGGAGCCATATTTTTCTCGAAATCGGCGAATTACCGATAAACTATTCCCAATCTATACATCCTCTTTTCGAATATAAACGGGTACCTCAAAATTATCGTGAACCGTGCCTTTAACATAAGGGTCAGAATTGTCTGTTTTATTGCACAAGCAGGTGTAATTTTGTGGCTAGGGGCGCGGTCAAAAAATCTTCTTGGAAAAATGGGCGTTCGGAAAGGCGGGCGATGAGGCCAAGCTCGCTTAGGAGCCGCCTGTTCAGCTTGTACTGGCCAACTTTTCACTGCCATGTAGTTTTCGGAGTTTTCGGAGCCACAACACGAAATTGTTAGAGGTTCTTGGATCAGGATTTACCGTTGTGGCCAATGGTTACCTGTTAGGCTTTTTCGCTACGTTGTAGAGTTTCTTTTACAGAAAAATGGGAGTGTGTTGAAGGAATACAGTTCGAATATGAGATTTTTTCCTCTGTAGCTGTTCAGCGTAGAATTTATTCCAACCAAAACTAATTAAATGAGCAATAATGTAAGCAACAATTGAACCATTACCCTCAAAAATCGCTTCGGCACCTATGACAACAGCTTACTAATATAAGCATCAAAACTGACTAGCACCACGCCTATGTGTTCTTTACTGCTACTAACTATTGGCAGGTTCTTAGACGGAGCAACAGATTCCACTTCCGCATGGATTGTAACCGGCAGGGCAGGCACAACCGGAAACTGAACCTCCACATGGCATTTGGGGTGCAAGATTCTGTGAATCATTTTTTAGATGAAGCATCTCGAAAAGTCTCAAAAAAGGTCTAAAATCATAATAAAAAAATTTGAAAAGAAGAAAATGCTAGATTACTCACAGGAGAGATTTGCTGTAGTTCCTGGCAAGCCGGCATACAGCTGATCTGGCAACGTTGTTGGCAAGGTGACAACCAAGGAACATTTTGGCACGTACTCATGCAGTTGTTTATGCACGTACCCATACAGGTTTGTCCGGGAACGGCGCCTTTACAGGAGTTCACACATAGTGCCTCTGGACAAGCTCCGCACTGCTGCATGCACTGCTTCTGGCAGTCATCAACAGTAGTCGCAAGTATGGGACCTTGATTCTGTACGGCAACAGACGGTACGCCGGGTGCTACGACAACAGGCCGTACACCGGATGCCGCATCGTTAAGGTACGTAACGACGGGGAAACCGACTGGAGCCGACGGTGCAAGGGGTGCAAACTGTAAATACGATCATTCATTTCATTTCATTTCATTTCATTTATTGACGCAGACGAAGTCCACGTGAGCTGCAATCTACAACAAGTGAAGCAGCCAGTAACACAACTCTCGCAAGTGTCATAACAGAAATAACCATAACAACTGGAATGTAGAAAAAAAAGCAAACATGATGAGGCATTACGTGGCTAAAAAGAAAAGAGAAAACAGCCAAAATTATGACGTTGATCGAGATTAGCTTGAAAGCGTGCAGGATTCCTCTCTAAGCATTTTTTCGGCCAAATTCTTGAGTGAGCGCGGAGAAATGTGCAAGTTGCCTACCTGGAGGATTTTGTTGAGGAAGGATATAACTCTGATAGAGAAGTAATTATGACGAACCTGAGTTCTAACAACCGGGGCTTTAATTTTAATGACACTACCTCTAGTTCTAGAATCGACCTTAGTAAAGAAGGATAAACTCATAGCTCAATCCAGAACATCGCATAGCGAGTTTACGGGTAAAGCTATTCTGGACACTCTCTAAATGACGAATGTCCTTTTTCTTGGAGGGAAAGAAAACTGTTGTCCCTGACTCAAGTATGGGTCTGACATACGTTTTATAAGCCTGTATGAGCGTTTTTGCATCCTTGGAGCGGATCGCTCTGAATAGGTTGTAGGTTCTGAACATAGCCTTCGACACAATTTCTTTATAATGCTTTTCGAAAGAGAGCATATTAT